AAAAAGAAGACTGCTGAGTATAATGTTACCTGTCGGTGTGTCATATATGGCTTTTATTATGTTTAGATGTGTTCCTTCCACACCCACTTTGCTATCAAATTGTCAGATGGTTTTTTTCTGCCATCTGTCGAGATAATCATACAATTTTTATCATTTTTAAAAATGTTTATTTTTGAGAGAGAGCACAAACAGGAGGGGCTGAGACGGGGGGACAGAGGATCCTCAGCAGGCTCTGCACGGACAGCAACAAGCTCAATGCGGGGCTCGAACTCAGGAACCATGAGATGGTGACCTGAGCCCAACTGAGCCTCCTTGGGGCCCCCATGCTTGTTTTTGTGAAAACGGTATCACCTTGCTTGACTTCCACCTGTTAATCATCGTTGCATCCCTGGAAGAAATCCCGTTGGATGTGGTGTTTGACCTTTTAACATACTAAGTTCTGTTTGCTAACGCTTTGTTGAGGATTTTTGCATCTGTGTATTGAGGATATCGGCCTGTAATTTTCTTTTCTTGTGGTTTGTCTGCTTTTGTTATGAAGGTAATACTGGCCTCTGATCTTTATTATTTCCTTTCTTCTACTTACTTTAGATATAAAGCTAGGTTGTTTACTTGAGATTTCTCTGGTTTCTTGAGGTAGGCCTATATTGCTATGAACTTCCCTCATAGAACTTTTTGCCGCATCACATGGCGTTTGGAAAGTTGTTTTGGTTTTCATTGGTCTCAGGGTGTTTTTAATTTCCTTTGATTTCTTCATTGACTTATTATTTGTTTAGTAACATTTTTTAGTCTTCATGTGTTTGTTTTCTTCTTGTAGTTGATTTCTAGTTTTATACTGTTGTGGTCAGAAAAGAGATACCTGATATGATTTCAGTCTTCTTGAATTTATTGAGAGTTGTTTTGTGGCCTAACATGTGATCTGTCCTGGAGAATGTCCTGTGTACACTTGAAAAGAATCTGTATTCTTTATTTTGGGGGATGGAAAATTCTGTATATATCTATTATTAAGTCCATCTGGTCTAATGTGTCATTTAAAGCCAATGTTATCTGAATTTTTTGTCTGGATGACCTATCCATCGATGTGAGGTATTAATGTCCCCTACTATTAAAGTATTACTGTTAATTTCTCTATGTCTATGTCTGTTAATACTTTGCTTTATCTATTTACATGCTCCTATGTTGGCTGCCTAGACATCTAATATGTATCCTCTTCTCGGATCAGGCTTTGTCATTAGGTAATGCCCTTTGGTTACACTGTTATCTATTTTGTGATGTGTGTATTGTTACACCAGCGTTCTATTTCTATTTGTACGGAATAAGTTTTTTCATCCCCTCACTTACAGTAAATAAGTAGGCAGCATATTTATAGATGGATCTTTCTAAAATCCATTCAGCCACCCCATGTCTTTTGATTAAAACATTTAGTTCATTTACATTTTTCCAACCAAATGCAACATTTATTAATATATTTGCTACATTCTGGCAGACAGTGGGTCAGATGAACAAACATCACAAGTGAACTTCATTTCAGTTGACAGCCCCACTCAGAGGGGCTGACACTGGTTTGGAAATCGTGTGTGCTTGTAAGACTCGGCATCTCCATGCTTCTCCTCTTTAAAACTACTTCCTAACAGAATTTAGAGACTCTGGGCTGCAGCTCCTGGTAGCCAAAGTAATTAATACTCCCACTCACTTACCGGTTTTAGGTTCATTTGCACTTAAGGTGATTATCGGTGAGTACTTATTGCCATTTTGTTCATTGTTTTCTAGTTGTTTTTGTAGTTCTCCTCTGTTCCTTCTCTCGGTCTCTTCCCTTTTGGTTTGATGATTTTCTACGATGTTTGAGTTCCTTTATTTTTTGTGCATCTATTGTAGGTTTTGGTTTCTGGTTTCCAGGAGGTTCATATATATTGACCTATATACATACTGGTCTATTTTAACCTGATAATTGCTTAAGTTCAAACACATCCTAAAAGCACTAATTAAAAAAAAATTTTTTTGATGTTTTTATTTTTGAGACAGAGCGTGGGCGGGGGAGGGGCAAAGAGAGAGGGAGACACAGAATCCGAAGTAGCTCCAGGCTCTGAGCTGTCAGCACAGAGCCTGACGTGGAGCTCGAACTTGTGAACTGTGAGATCATGACCTGAGCCAGAGTCAGGCACCCAGGGGCCCCAAAAGCACTGATATTTATTCCCCGCCCCCTACATCTTGTGGTTTTGACCTTTCAACTGACATTTTTGTATATCCCTTACACTATTTTAGTTATGATTTGACTAGTTTTGTCTTCAGTCTTCATACTAATTTCTAAGTGTCCGCTTTACTGCCTTCACTATGTATTTGCCTTTACCGGTGACATTTTTTTCCTCTCATATATTTTTTATTTCCAGTTACAGACTTTTCTGTTTACCAAAGAGCCTTTAACATTTTGTAAGGCTGGTTTGGTGGTGATGAGCTTCTTTAGCTTTTAGTTGTCTGGGAAACTCTCTTTCCTTTAACTGTGACTGTTACCCTTGCAGGGTAACATATCCTTGGTTGTGAGTTTTCCCCTTTCAGCATTTTATTTAATGTTTTAAATGTTTTTATTTATTTATTTTTTTTTGAGAGAGACCGAGCATGAGCAGGGGAGGGGCAGAGAGAGACGGAGACACGGAATCTGAAGTCGGCTGCTTAACCCACCGAGCCCCCCCCCAGCATTTTAAATATTATCCTGCCACTGCTTTCTGGCCAAATTTCTGCTGCAAAATCAACTGGTAATCTTAAGGGAGTTTCCCTTTGTATGTGGCTCTGTTTCACTGCCTTTAAGATTTTCCATCTTTACCTTTTTCTATTTTAATTATAATACATTGTGGTGTAGCTCTTGCTGCACACCTTTTTCTAGGTGTCTGTTCCTTACCCAGGTTAAGAAAGTTCTCGGCTGTTATTTCCTCCAGTGAGTTTCCTTCCCTCCCCTCTTCTCCCTCTGGGACCCCGTCCCGCGCACGTCAGTACACCTGTCCCAGTGGCTCCTTAACCTCTACGCGCTGTGTAAACTCTTTCCTTGCCGTTGGCTTGGAGTCTCTGCTCCATCTACCCTCCCGGATCGCGCCCCATTCTTGTGCATCCTCGCGTCTTATTTCCCCCAGTGTGTTTTTCATTTGTTACAGTCGTCAGCTCTGACCAGTTGTTTATAATATTTCCTCTTTGCTGAAGTTCTCTGCTCTTCTCTGATGAGTGTATTTATCATTCGTTTCCAGGTAGATTTTTTTTGGTGCCTATTTCTGTACATTGGGCAGAACAGCTTCCTCTCCCAGGCTTGAAGGCATGAGTGGCCCGTGTAGGGAAGCCTGCGTAGACCGCACGTGCCTGACCACGCCGGACGGTGAGCGGGACCGCGAGCAGGCAGGGGCCAGGTGTGCCCTGTGCACACCACCCAGGCCGAGCTCGTGGGGGCCTGAGCTCGCTGAGGGGATCCCAGCAGGCTGGCTGGCGTGCCTGGACTTGCTGCAGTCTGCACGACTGAGACGGAGGGGGGCAATCACCAGTGCTCCAGCCGGAGTCGCCCCCCCCCCCCCCCCCCCCCCCCCCCCCCCCCCGTTCCTCACCATTTATCTGAGGCTGTGAGGTTAGTAAATGGGTCTCCTTCATTCATAGGCTAGATGCTCTTTATTTATTCTTAAAATGTTTTAATGTTTTGTTTATTTCTGAGAGAGAGAGACAGTGTGAGCAGGGGAGGGTCAGAGAGAGAGGGAGACACAGAATCTGGAACAGGCTCCAGGCTCTGAGCTGGCAGCACGGAGCCCGACACGGGGCTCGAACCCACAAACCGTGAGGTCATGACCTGAGCCGAAGTCAGACACTTAACCGACTGAGCCCCCCAGGCGCCCTAGATGCACTTTAAACCACTGGTGTTTTTGCTCTGCCCCAGGGCGTGCAAGTCTGCATCCCCTCGCCTCCAGGATACCCTTCCCTATGCGGTCTGTTGTGCTGGGGGTGGGCTTCCTGTCATGACTCTCTCCTTCCTCCGTGTGGTCCCATGATCCTTTGTTGTTCAGAAGCTGTCCAATCAGCCCCCGGTTTGCTTTCTATGTGGATTGTAGTTCAACGAGCTTGGCACCCTGGACAACCTCCCAAAAATTTAAACTCGTATTTGCCAGATTCTATCCCACAAAGAAAACTTTTAATTTTGGAGACCTTGTCAGAAGAATGGTTTTCTCCAAAGTATGTGTTTCTGTAGTTACCTCGTGTCGTCGTCTTCACCAGCGACACACACTCGGGAATTTAATACATCGAGGACCGGATCCTGTACAGAAGGCTCTGTGGCTGGAGAGACAACCAGAACTAAAGACTAAATTCTGCTCCGCCCCCAAGCAGTGCAGGGACGGAGGCGGGACATTAGCAGAAAGCAGCCTCCTGGAAAGTACAGTGACCTCATGTAAAATGATGTAAGGAGTCACATACTTCGCTCTCTACCACTCACAGAATCCATTCAAAAATCCTGATTTTATTTGATCCTCGGCAGTGTCTGGAGTGGAGAATGATTCCCGTTTTACAAACAGAGGTATGAGCTGTATAACTTGCACGCGCAGTGCCCTCTGACTCCTATTCAGTAGTGTATACAGTCGGTGCCTGGACTTGTCAAATCCTAGGAGACCAATCAGAGCAGCCCCTTCGCCTCTGTGCTTCAGCTCTCAAGTATGAAATGTAACTATTCTCATCACCTTCACTCCGGCTACTGTGTTCAGTGGGAGAAACTGAATGACGGTGAATAAGTGGCAACAGATGTCCGCTCTAAGAATGCAGAAAACAAAGTATTCTAAAGAAGTTACATGTACAATAGCAGAGACTCTGACCCATTAAAATAGTAACAGACAGGCTCTTATGGTCCAAGGAAAATACAAATTTGCTTTATTTCAAAATAGTAACTTCCTTCAATTGGAGCACTGGCCAAAATTCAATACTGATATAAATATAAATTTCTTAAGAGGTCAAAATACATAATTCAGACAAATTTCTGAATTTCTTTTAAAGGTGGAATTTTTAAATCGTATGAAACAGTAGAAACAATGTAAAGCCACAGTTCCAATTTAAGCTGAGTAACATTTCCTAATATTGAGAACATTGCACATATTTTCAATAACTTAAATGTCTACTCTTCCCATCTCCATTTCTTTTTACTAGATTTAAATAAATCCCCGTATTTACTCATGGCAGGAGACTCTGCGCTAACCACAGCTGAGTTTCACAGAGATAGAGGCCCAGAAAGCGTCATCAGGCACGCGCACGTGGCCGTACAGCGGCCCGCGGAAGCCCCGCTCCAGAAGGGCGCCTCTCCACCCTCTGGTAGCACCTAAGGTTTGCTGCACGACGTGACTCAGCGGAACAGCACTGGGACAGTGATAAACAACTTACAGGAAATTCTTTCGCCTACTCAGTGTTTCATTATAAAGCTACGACATCTGACCAATATTAAAAAGTCCTGAAACTCCATTATGCTACCATTTCCAGTACATATTAACTTAGCAAGAAGCCCTCTATGAGGCCCTTATGAAACTGGAAACACAAAAGATGGTACACGGTGCTTCTCACCTGTTACACGTTTGATTCGGTAATTTGATTTGTCTGAAAGCTACACTCTCTCTCTCAGCACTGGATAGCACTGACGGGAAGCAGCTTTCGTGGTCTCTGACTTTCCTTTAAACGAAAGCATTACAGGATTTTCAGCAGCGATCATCATCTGGTTCCTACTTGCGCCCCCATCTCTAAGGAAACGTGAGAGGGAGTCTAAGGTAAAAGTCCTATTCAAGGCAACAAGGTTCCTAAATGTCTCACTCCAGCAACGTGTGTTATACCCCGTTCCAGCGCCGAGTGATCAAGGGTCGCCGACCACCTCGCCGACATCATCATTACATTTTATGTACTATTTTATACCCAAAGATATGCATATAAAACATCTGCACGGATAAATTAGTGTTAAGAATTAAAACCTCACATCTACAATGTCCTTTTCTTCTGAAATCTATAGAATTATTTTTAAGACTAGAAACCTTTTAACATCCTGGCTACGCATTAAAAACATGTTACGGAAAACTTCAGAACCTTCTCACAAAAAGAAACAGAGTGCTTTTTTATTAGACTTAAAGGAGACTACTGAATACTAAATTCAGGCGTTTACTAACCAGTGTGGATTTCCAGTAGCCAAAGAGTCCTAACAAACCAACGGCTGGAACAAGGAGGGTTTTTCCTCAGCTCACTATTAGGAAGTTGAAACATTTTCAAGCAAAGCCTTCATTTTTCCTGTAGACTTCAACATGTGTGGCCCAAACTACAAAAGAAACAAAGTATAAATAAAGACAGTGGCTCAGGTAACAGTAATGACACGCCCCCGTCCTCAGCACGGATCACAGGTGGATCACAGGTCGGGTGTGTTCTGCGTAAAAACCCAAGCACCTAGATGATCCTAAAACCTTCATGAATTGACAAATTGTTGTAAACATCACACAGCAACAGAATGAAACGCAGCAAAGAGGTAACCAGATTACTTCCTAGGAAAGAAAACTATAATCCTCTTAGGACCGTGAGCTTTAGGCCATTCTTACTTGTCTGACTAAAAGAATGAGGTACAAAGCTTCCTTTTTTCGAGGTCTAAAGTTTCTGAGATGCTAGAATTTCTCAGCTACCTGATTCTCCGGGCTAGTTAGGCACATATCCCACAGGACAGTAAAGCTAACGTGAAAATTAATATCTGAAAGTCCCCATGATCTGCTCGATCTCCACCTGGGACCTGACGCATCTCGCAAGACCCAGGTCAATTCTCACCCTCTCCAGAGGACTTTCCGGGACTCCAAGGGAAAATAATCTCCCTTTATTTTGAATTTCTCAATCACCGAAATTTTATTATAGTGAATTTATAAGCTTCATCGTGCTTATGTATAAACAAAACACAGCACGAACGATTTAACACCGCAGATGCCAGGCAGTGAAGCCAGGGGTGGCTTCTGCTTCCTTTTTCATGTTCTTCCATAACCTCCTTGTGGAGAGGGGCTCATTCCTGCGGAGGCCGCAGCCGAAGGCCTTACAAGATGCAGCGGGGTCTCAGCAGCGGGGTCGCTGCCACGCTGCACCAGGAGACAAGTGTGGCCTAGTACTCACCAGCACTGGCTCCGAGGTGGCCTCTCGTTCAGACTTTGGAATTCCTTTTTCAACTTCCCCTGGACTATCACTTCGGTATCGAAAGGCAAACTTCCTCTTCAGAGCCTCTGCTATGAGGGCGGCAGGGTCAGCAGCGTCCACCGGCCTGCGCTTCGGCTCCTGCTCGGACCTTGGAGAAATTAACAGAAACCGAGGGGACTTTCAATGTGCCGACCGCCCTCCGACGCACCGCTCGGCATCACCGGCCCCCGGCAGGTGCCTGACACGCGGAGAGATGCGAGACAGAAAGCCGACACGTGAGGCTCAGTAGGAGAACGCGACGATGCCCAGAGAAGAGCCGCTCCGTTCTACTCAAGAGCATCGTCGTCGGGGCGCCTGCAGCCCCGGCCTCCTCCCGAGCCTGGCGGCCAGTCGCGGCAGGCGCGCGGCACAGCTGACCGAACGACTGGACAGTAGCAGTAAAGACGTCACACCAGGGCTTTACGTGCAGTAGAAACACCTGAAAATGTCTGCTAACTTCTTAGTTATCTAGGAGACACTGGAGCTCATCTTTTTTAAACTAAAAACTGGAACTATTCATGGTAATCAGGTTATAAAACAAAGCTCTGGGGCGCCTGGGGGGCTCAGTCGGTTGAGCGTCCGACTTCGGCTCAGGTCACGATCTCGCGGTTCCGGGGTTCGAGCCCCGCGTCAGGCTCTGTGCTGACGGCCTGGAGCCTGGAGCCTCTGCTGCGGATTCGGTGTCTCCCTCTCTGCCCCGCCCCTGCTGGCGCTCGCGCTATCTGTCTCTCTCAAAAGTAAACACTTAAAAAAAGTAATAAAAAAAAAGCAAAATTCTCAAGAAGCCTAGTACTTTATTTTACAAGACATAAAAAAGCAAAGGAAGTATGAACTAAGGTAAATGTGTCCTCACCGTTTTACTGAGCGGAGTTTTACGCTGCTCATATCTCTGAGGATCTCTAGCATATTTGGCATATCTGGCTTCGGGGGACTGTTCTTAACCAGAGTCTTTCCAGCACAGGCTTTTCTCTCTCTTCGCTCTTTTATCAGCTCGATGGCAGATACACTTTGGTGAAGCCCTGGTGGGGGGAGGGGCGGGGGGGGTGGGGGCGGGGGGGGTGGGGGGACGGAGGGTGGGGCTGTGGGGACACATGTGGTAGAATCTAAATCACCTACAGAAATAAAGAAAAATCCATTCAATCTTGATGGTAACAGGCAAGTAACTTTTAGCAGCGAAATTATGTTACGGACTCTCATATACCTGAAATCAAGACGCTTAAAACAAACAAACTCCGTTATGTAAGTAAAGGAAGTTTCAGTTACTTGGTTAGAATCTTAAGTGCCTGCACCTAATTCCAAACGTCCCAGCCAGACCCCCGCGCAGTCTGCAGCCGCTTTTACAGGGGAAGTGTGTGCTACATAAACCCCTTCAATAGTCTGACGGTTCAGGACTATAATAACGATTTGAAAAAACTGATAAATTTGTGGTTCACCTTAAGAATTTTTACATAAAGGACTTATTAAGCATTACAAGTTTTAGATGTATTACTCAACAAATTTCTGAAAGAGAAAGAAAGGGGTTATACTTAATTTCCAAAACGTGAAGTAACCAAGCGTTAGAGTGGCTACGAAATAAGGACCTAACAACCCTTCCTTCTGCGCGACTAGAACAGCTGTCCACTGGTTGGACCGTACTGATTGGGGGGCTCGATGAACCAGTTCTACTCAAGGGATTTTCACTATAAATAAAACATCTAACATAAATCTCCAATTTATCTACTCCCAGCAGTTTTCCTAGTCTGCCAGAAGAGGGAGGTAAAGCAAAGGAGAAATGCCGATTTAGAAGTTGAAAGAAAAAAATAAAAGTTAGAAGAAAAGGCAGGACTTCTGGTTTTTAAAGTCACGTGCAAATTTCCTTTAGGTAACAGTCACTTCCCAAGCACTGGGTGCCGAAGGCGTTCGGCCCCGGCCGTCCCGGCCGTCCCCAGGCTGCCGGAGGTTTCCGAGCCGGGGGACATTGAACTCTGGGCGCACGAGAGGCCCAGGGGCAGAGGACGGTGCTCCTCCTCAACCTTCGGGGCGGGCGGATTCCGAGTCTGGCCAGGACTCAGCACGAACACGAGGTTACCGGGCCAGGGCTTCCAGGCTACCCGTGCGCACGAGTAAGGGCGAAGAGGAGCGGGCCAGGAGTCTCGGGACCCGGATCGGCGTCCACTCCGGGCCGGAGGAAGACGGGTGACTGCGAAGGGGCTGCCTCGTGCTGAAGCATCTTACAGAGTGTCCACACTTACTCCCAGAGTGACTCGAAGATAGGGTTACTATTACCCGTTTCAGAGCAGGAAACGGAGCCAGCAAGGCCAAGGACCCAACCCCGTCAGCACCGGGGTGAGAGGGCTCCACGCTGAGGAATCTGGGGCCATTGTCACAAGGTTTCCCGGTGCGTCCGTACGGGCACTCATTCAGCCGTATGACTTCCGGTATTTTCCAAATCCATCCCTTCTGACAGCACCAAGATTGTTTAACAAAGCCCACGTGGGCCTGGCTGGGTGCTGCCCCGCCTACGGAGAGGGCGGCCCTCTGGTTTTCTAACAACCCCACGAATGCTACTTGCTGATACGTTTTAAAAGCAGTGCCATCTCCTCACTCCCAGCCCAGCGGTGAAAGCAAGTGTAGGATTTACAGACCTGCAATGAGACTCTGCTGCTCTTGCAGGGTCACAATCTTGGCAATCTGAGCCCTGAGGGCAGCGAGTTCATTTTCAAGGGCACAGATCTTCTGCAGTGCTTCCTCACTGGCCAGCGCGGTCTTCCGCGGAGGCTCTTCTGGAGACGCGTCTGGTGAGGGACCGTCCCGAAGGGGCTGCCCTGATCTGACCTCTGTCCTGCAACACAACAGAGGGCTGGCTGTCACAGGCTTCGCGAGGGATGCGGAAAGCCGTGGCTGCCCGTTAATCAGAACACAGGAGCTGAGAAACACTCTTCCCACAAGTTCCAAAACAGCAAAGCACGAGTCAACCTGATGTGGGTACAGACCAACGCAGGGTTCTCACTGCCGCCGCTCTTCGTCTCTGTAAGACGCACAAGCCCGCGCCCTCAGGAGGCATCAGATTCAGCGTTTTCGATGACGCATGTTTTGGTTTGAACGAAGGTAAAATAACTTCACCCTCACTGAGCATGAAGCCTGCGTGGGATTTCCTCTCCCCCTCGCTGCCCCTCCCCTGCTCACTCAGGGCCCTCTCTCTCCCTTTATCAAAAATAAGCTTTATCTTAAAAAATGGCAGACTGATTACTGGTTACATTTGACAACAAAATCAAATCGGTAACACATTAGCCTTTCGCCAGGGCCTTGGCCTCCACAAACAATACGGGCCAAACACAGCGGCAGAAACTGAAGAGGCGGGGGAAGAATGCACTGGACCCGCGCAGTGAACCGCGCACGGTGGCTCGTTCTCTCCTGATGTAAAGGTCTTAATACGCACTTCTCCACAGTTTCGGATGTTAAGTCTTTTGAGGCTGAGAATAAAATTCAGATGTCTTTTCAACTGTCAATTATACACTTCGCTATAGCCCCCTATTTCCTCCACTTAGGGTTCCGGGCCTGCAAGCCCCTTCCCAGCTTTACTGAGGGAAAACGGACAGCTGGACTTACGAGCGGCGCGCAGCACGGCCACCTGGGCACACACCGCAATAATCGCCACCGTCAACCTGACGGACACACCCCCGTTCCCCTCCGTCTCGCGTGCTCGTGGCCGAGTTCTGCGGGCCAGACGAGGCAGGCGTGGGAGGCACGCAGGAAGGCTGCGTAAGAGGGGGGCCCCGCGAGGAAGCCCTTCCGCCTGCACCTCCACCCGGTGTGTCCTCCTGAGCCTGGGCTACAGGCGACGGCTGCGCCTGAGAGCCACACAACGAAACGCCGCCCTGAGCGTGGCAGCCCGCGCTGACGGCAGGGCCTGGCTGGGTCCCTGGGGACCCTGTGCAGCCACGGTCAGCGGTGGCTTCCACGGTGTGTCGCTCGCTATCTGCTCCAGAGGTTTCTGATTTGAGAGAAACAAACCCCATCTGGTGGAAGTCCCCATTCTGGGGGCCACTCTGCTACACGTAGCTGAAACTAATCCTGTTAGAAAACCACCATCGAACTCCATTTTGATTTCTACTTTAACTGGACTCTGGGATTTTACTTTTGCTTGAGAGCTGTTACAGTTCTTCATTCTACCTTATGTTCTAAATGAAGGCGTTCTTGGGGTGCCCGGGTAGCTCGGTCAGTTAAGTGACTGATCGTGACCTGAGCCGAAATCAAGGCTCTCTGCTGACCCCCTCTCTGCCACTCCCCCACTTGCTCTCTCTCAAAATAAATAACTAAAAAAACAAACAAACACCCAAAAAGATAGATGAAGGAATTCTTGGAACTTTAGCTTTTAGTATTCACTGAATTCTGTTGTTTTCATCTAATTTTGCTTATGCTCTATTAATTTATTATATAAAGAGGATGCTTGTAAATTGTTTACCTGAATACTATTTTTTTTAAACTATCCAGGACTGACCGTGTTTTTTTGGGTTTTTTATGTTTATTATTTATTTAGAGAGAGCGCAAGAGAGCAGAGGAGGGAAATAGAGAGAGGGAGACAGAATCTCAAGCAGGCTCCACACTGTCAGCACAGAGCCTGAGGCGGAGCTCAGACCCACAAACCACGGCATCGTGACCTGAACTGAAATCAAGAGTCGGACGCTTAACTGACTGAGACACCCAGGTGCCCTTACTTGTAACAGAACTAAAGAAAAATATTTGGAGAATAAATGCCCCAGTTGTTACTTAGCCTTGGCTTAGCTGGCAAGAAACTTTAACCTTCTGTCAGGAACAGTACCTATGTTCTGATTAAACAGACTAATATGCTCTTTCAAAGATTATATAAGTTACAGATTAGATGCATGAGCTCTAATCACCGGGAATAAAGAAAATTATTTTAGTAAGACATTGAAATTTTCAAAAATCACTGTGGCCTTCTGTTGATACCACAGGCTAAATTCTGATTTCTACTTATCTTTCATAGGGTAGATCAAATAATTTTGTTAAACAGCTCCATACATAAATACACAGGGTTACAAGGATAGAAATTAATCTTCTGAATGAAGTTGTTGTTTGGGGGTACATTTACATGGAGGAATTATTTTAATATCAATACAATGTCCAGGATTCTCATTTAACTTGTTTCAACTATATTCCTGATTACATAGTTTTTAATAAAAAAGAGCATGATAATGAATTTTTTCAAAACTATTCCTTGAAAGAACTAGGCAAACTGCTGACAGGTAAGATAGTGGTACTGACAGAATTCACCTGGACAAAATACAGAAATCTCAAATGTCGGGGCGCCTGGGGGGCTCAGTCGGTTAATCGTCCGACTTCGGCTCAGGTCATGATCTCACGGTTCATGGGTTCGAGCCCCGCGTCGGGCTCTGTGCTGACAGCTCAGAGCCTGAAGCCTGTCTCGGATTCTGTGTCTCCCACTCTCTCTCTGACCCTCCACTGCTCGCATTCTGTCTGGCTCTCTCAAAAATAAATAAAACACTAAAAAAAATTTTTTTAATAAAAGACATCTCAAATGTAGAATTCAGTTATACTACTTGTTCAAAACAAGAGTGTAGAAAGATGGAAGAGTAGTAGTGACAGCCTGAGTTTTGAGGAAGGCGTGTTCTCAGGGAGAAAAGGAGAAAGGCGCTGCTCTGGGCGTCAAGGGGGGGGCCTCTAAAGGGTGACACTCACTGCAAGTGGAACTGAGAATAGACGGGAAGAAACTCAGAGCCTGTGGATACTCCCCTCCATCCCCACATCTTCCATTTTCTATCAAAGATCAGCTTTGCTTTAATAAAATGAGCCTGAAAAATGAATATATTCATATCTGGGCGTGGAAGTGAGAATGATGATGCTTTGTTTTCCTGTTATGTATGAGTGCAAACGTTTCATCAAGTCGATACTATAACAGCAAATAAAGTAAAATTTTGGATAGCAGAATATTTAGTGCTACTACTCAAAAATGACATTATAATACTGTTTATTCAAGAACTAGTGGTGGGCGCCTGGGTGGCTCAGCTGTCTAAGCATCAGACTCACGGTTTTGGCTCCGGTCATGATCTCACAGTTCGTTAGGATTGAGCCCCACGTCAGGCTCTGCACGGACAGTGTGGAGCCTGATTCAGATTCTCTCCCTCCCCCTCTCTCTGCCCTTCTCCCTGTTTGTGCACGCTTTCTCTCTCTTTCTCTATCAAAAATAAACATTAAAAAAAGAAGGAGAAGAACTAGTGGTTATTTTTTTTTTTTTTAAGTTTTATTTAAGTAATCTCTACACCCAACCTGAGTCTCAAATTCATGACCCCGAGAATAAGTCACACGCCCTTCCGACTGAGCCAGCCAGGTGCCCCACTAGTGGCCACTTTAGTAGAGAATATATTCCCCCACAGGAATCCACCCCAAAAACCAAGAGCACACTTTACACACTGTATGTTAGTCAATTTGACAATAAATTATTTAAAAAAAAAAAAAAAGTCTTGGCAGATAAAATAAGAGAGAGAATATATTCTCACCTCAAATTCCCCTATCCATCTCAGGATCCAAAAGTATTAAATTGTAAGTTTGTCTTTAAATGTTATCATTCAAGTAAGGCAAAGTTCAAATCCCATGAACATTTACTCTTCAATACCCAGAATTAGACCAAGAAAATATGCAATTTGGATTAAGAGATCAAATCAACTAAAAGTCCTGTTGGAACAGGTTACTTTCTTCAAAATATTTTCTTGTCAAAATAAACTGTAAGAGCGAATGAATGAATGTTGAACAGCAACTACAATGTTGACAAAGAGAATTAAGTTATTAGTACATCTCCCCATAACTCCTAGAGATGAATTTTCCCATTTTTGATTTTCCATCTACTGAAAATTATGGACAAAGCCTTATTATTAATCTTGAAAATCAGTGTGCCAGAATAAAAGAAAAAAGTCTAGGCCTTTAGCAAAATGATTTAAAAGTAACAGTGTCAGATGATCTGTATTTTATGTCTATCCTATTTTTATAAATTTGATGATACAGAGTTTGCATTTTCTTATGTGAAATACTGTTAACAGTATTCACAAAGTTCAAACAAAGTAATTATAGGAAATGTGGAGTTTAAATGTGGATTTTTAGAAGCTGAAGAAGGAGAGTAATCCTGAGGTCATCATGTCTTCTCAAAGACACAGGGTCTACGGCCATATCACCCTGAACGTGCTGGATCTCGTCAGACACAGAAAGACTGGACATTTACAGAAGCTTAAGAACCAAAAACAAAAACAAGTTCTCTGTAATATTCTTGCGTGTGCAAAATACTTACTTACATTTTATGAAATTCCCAGACACATCCCTTCCTTTAAAAATACACACACAGCCTTTTCCCACAGAAATTTCTATAAGACATTACACAGATCATTCTCAGAACCACTGTTTTACCATTATTCAGAAGGCTATTAAAAGCTAGAATGCAGAGGCAGAATTAATCCAAATGACGAGAATTGATCTTTTACAAAATCTGTATGTATAATTCTGAGATACTTTCAAGAAACAAAAGCAAAAGAAAGGGCGCCTGGGTGGCTTAGTCGGTTAAGCGTCCGACTTTCGCTTAGGTCGTGATCTCGCGGTTCGTGGGTTCGAGCCCCCCGTCGGGCTCTGTGCTGACAGCTAGCTCAGAGCCTGGAGCCTGTTTCACAGTCTGTGTCTCCCTCTCTCTCTGACCCTCCCCTGCTCANACTGCCAGCTCGGAGCCTGGAGCCTGTTTCAGTCTGTGACTCCCTCTCTCTCTGACCCTCCCCTGCTCACGCTGTCTCTCTCTCTCTCTCTCAAAAGTAAACAAACTTC